TATTGTAGCTCGCATACTGAGGTTTCTATATGATTAAAGCCTTAACCTCAGGCCTACGTCTTCTCATTCGACACGTTCAATCTAACTGGTGGACTCTATTCAATCTCACAACAATTTAATCATCTAGAAATGGATCAGCTTCTGCGACCCGAATGCTTCCGATGCAGCGGAATCATGGGAGCACTGCTATTTGACATTAACCAACTTCTTGGTCATCATCGATTCACACAAATGTGATAAGCTAAAGACGCTCTTTCATCTTCTCAGACCAGCTGTGTATAAAATTATTTCTCGATGTCCCTCGCATAAAGTAGCAATCAGTACTATCGAATCACTCTATGTACAACCAAAGAATGAAGTGTTCGCAGGTCATGTAGTAGCTACTTGCAAACAAGGGTCTAGCGAAACTCTCGATCAGTTCACGCAGAAACTTCGAGCACTCGCCAAATTGTAAGTTTAAATCTATGAGTGCTGAACAGAATCAAGATGATGCGGTCCGCGATGCATTTATCAGTGGTCTGTGATCCAATTCTATAAGACAAAGACTGTTGGGGCATAAAACCCTGAAAATACAGACTGCCTTTGATCAAGCTAAGTCCTTAGACTTAGCTCAGAAACAGTCGAATTCATTTGTCTCATCGGTTCCAATCGTGCCTTGCAACACCATAGCTGATGAATCCGCTGCTCATGAAAAATCATGCACCAGTTCACCGTTGGACGCCACGTTGGCTACCGCTCGAACAAAGTTGTCGGATAAATGTTATTTTTGTGGCTACGATCGTCATCCTCGACACAAGTGTCTCGCTAGAGAGTGCAAATCTTGTAGAAAAAATGACATTTTCAGAAAGTTTGTCGTTCTTATACACCCACAAAACATACTGTTTATGTCTCACCGTTCGTGGTTTCTTCTATCATCACCGCAGCTGCTCCCGCATGTCTTGCGAAGGCTACCACAGATGTCATGGGAATTAAGCTGAAGGTGCTAATCGACACAGGAAGATCCGAAAGTTTGGTCTGTGAAACCGTTGTACAAAGACCTCGTTGGGCAAAGTTCGAATCACACAGTGAAATTGTTCTGGCTTCCACACAACTTAGTAGTTATGCCCAAGGACACTGTTTTGTTTCTCTCGTGCACTAAGGAGTGTTCCACGCACACGTGAAGTTTTCAATACTTTCCGATCTGTGCACTGATATTTTATTAGGACACGTTTTCTTACAGTTACATACAAGCGTAGGGATACCTTTTCAAGGTAATCGTCCTCCGTTCTCTTTATGTGGCCTTACAACTTGTCAGCTACCTTCCCCTGCTCTGTTCGCCCAGTTATCTCCTTCATGTACTCCAGTACACACCAAATCACGGAGGTAGAATCCTGCAGACGAACATACCATGCAAACTGAAATTGATAGACCACTAAAAGAAGGCATAATCGAGTCTCCGAAATCACCTTGGCGTGCACAAGTTCTTGTCACCATAAACGAACGCCAAAAGAAAAAAATGGTTATTGATTATAGTCAAACCATAAATCGTTTTACGAAACTGGATGCTTATCCTTTACCGCGTATCGATGACATGATCGAGAAGACATCTTATTTTGGGGTATTCTGTATTCTTGAGCTAGAGAGTGCCTGTCATCAAAAGTCTATAAAGGAAGACGAGAAGAAATAAAGCGCAATTGAAGCATGCAATAACTTACACCAGTTCGCCGTATACCTTTCGGGGTAACCAACGATGTTGCATGCTTCTAAAGAACTATGGATGAACTGATTCGCCACGAAAAGCTCAAGAGAACATTCGTCTACATCGATAATATTACTGTGTGGCAGACTCCGCAGAACATGACAAAGACCATCAAAGCTTCTTACGCATCGTTGAAAAGTACGGAATGACCCCAAACCGTAAAAAATGCGTATTTGCGGCCAAGGAAATTCACCTGCTTGGTTACGAAATTTCGTTGGGTACAGTGAAACCAGACCCTGATCGCTTTAAGCCGTTAATAATGCTACCTCCAGCAATGGATCTCAAATCACAACAGAGTAATTGGGATGTTTGCCTACTACTTCCAATAGTTCTCACACTTTTCGGACAGGACCAATCCGCTCGTTAATAATAGGATTTTTCCACCGCCAAATAGTGTTTTGGACGCGTATGAGGCATTAAAGATAGAACTAGTCGAAGCAGCCGTGATCGCTGTTGACAGAAACGTGCAATTATTAACTGAGACTGATACATCTGATGTCGTTATTTCTACAACGCTCAACTATAACGGCCGACCGGTCGCATTTTTCTCACGAACACTGGCCGGTAGTGAGCGAAAGTACTCAGCCGTGGAGAAAGAGACCTATGCTATCGTGGAAGCTATCAGGAAATGGCCGCACTATCTACTCGGAATCTATTTTAAACTAGTAACTGACTAGCGTTCAACTGTTTTCATGTATAATACGAAGCTTGGAGGAAAGATTAAAAAAGGATAAAATACAGAGATGGCGTATCAAGCTCTCTCAATTCTCTTACGATGTGGTGTGTCGACCCGATAACCAGAATTCCGCAGCTGACACAACATCGACGGCATGTTGTGCAACCAGCCATTCACTCATCTGAAGCGCATTCACGAAACTCTATGCCATCCTGGCATTACTCGACTTTCCCACTTTGTGCGAGCGAAGAACTTGCCATATTCCTTAGAAAATGTAAAATCAATAATCCAGCAGTGCTTCATATGCCTTCAACTGAAGTCGGAGTTTTGCAGCACAGTCAACAGTCCACTAATCAAAGCAACTCAGCCTTTCGAAAGACTTCAAGGGACCAGTACCTTCGACCTCGCGTAACCGCTACATACTCACAGTTATTCACGAATATTTCAGATACCCGTTTGCCTAGGCCTGCCCTGACATGATGGCCGCCACCATAATACACAAGCCTACTGAATTGTATTCTATCTTTGTAATGCCATTGTATTTACATTCTGACAGGGGTTCCTCGTTCATGTCTGAAGAGCTGAAAATATTTCTGCATGAGCGTGGCGTAGCGACCAGCGGAACCATTAGCTATAATGCAACGGCAAAGTGGAGCGACTCAATGCTACATTATGAAAAGCCATCGCACTCTGTATACGATTACGAAGTCTCGGTAGTTGAACAGTGAGTGTGTGCTACCAGAAACCCTACATTCTATTCGTGCATTGCTGTGCACTGTCAGTAATGCTACACCCCACCAAGGTATGTTACTGTATAACAAAAAGTCACCAGTGGGAATTATTCTACCACAATGGTTACTATCGCCTGGACCTGTCCTGCGCAAAAATGCGCGTTCTTCCAAGTACGACCCTCTTGTCGAGGAAGTAGATCTGCTAGATTGTAATCTAGAATACGCTCATGTTCGGCTGTCTGATGGTTGCGAGGAGACAGTCTCTTTATGCCACTTCGCACTTAGGAGACACGAAAGCGATTACCCCGAGGTAATGACATACAACTACACAGATTCATCGGTCTCCTCTCAAACACCCTCGTCCGCAGACCAATCCCCTTGTGCTACATAGGATTATTCCCTTACTTCCTCTGAGATCCATGCTAATGCTGATAACACATTTATGCAAGAACAAAGAACAAGACCGTATCTCTTATGTAGTCGTGAAGCTTAATTTACATAATTACTACATCTATTCATCATCTATCAGCGTGAATTTATATTCTTACATTGTTACTATTCCTATGCTATTGTAAACTGTAAATATTGTATTTGGGGTTAAAAGCTATCGTATGTTTTATTGTTGCCTGCATACCGAGATTTCTAGATGATTAAAACCTAACCCTCAGGCCAACGTCTTCTCGATCGACACGTTCAACCTAACTAATGGACTCTACTCAGTCTCACAACAATTGTCTAGTAGTTTCATCTCACACAACTGCGCAGCATCCCTTCTGCCCTGTCGACAATCCCATGTTCAACCGAACAGACGGCTTCAGTTTCATTTGGAGCCCACACTTCAGTGCGCACTTTGTTACACATCGGTCAAAAGACAACGCTTGTATGGACATTAGACACCGTATCGATCGATATCTGTCGCTTATCAGAAACCCATCTACAACGTTCGAGTCCTGTGTTCACTTTGTGATCCCTTCATATGACAGTGGAGGACAGTCAACCCGGTGTAAGCATTGCTCTGAGCTCATGTGTTGAAGCTTCTTTGATCAACTGAATCACGGATGGACAAGATGAGACGTCTACCTCGTAACCTAAAAGTCAACGGTTGGAATCTGCACAGCTGAGAGCGACTTCGTGTACCATTATCTCACGCACCACGAGCGGTGGTCGCGTGGCGCCGAGGCGTCGGTGCAGTCTACAGATGTACTGCTAATGTCGCTTTCTCTTGAAGTACTTTCGCGGGTGTCGGTTAGCAGAAACGCAGAGATTCAGAAATTCCGATCTAGCGCATTAAAACGTAAGCTTGCACTGTGATTCGGAAACCAACGTGGGAACGCAAAGCCCACTACATACTTGCTGATTTATTACACACACGCGCATATGACCGTAGGCTGAGTGTTTGTGATTGATAAGGATGAATGAATGGTTCAGTCAGCTCACAACCCACTTCTTCCGATAACCTTATTTGGAGCTATAAAGTACACCCATTGTTGACATACAATACATTCATCAACGGAAACTAGGCGGTCATGGTTACAAATGGAGTGAAGCAAGCCTTTGGCCCATCAACACAAACAAGCAAACAAACGAAAAGTAGCATTCACGGAAATCAGGGGCAAGTTAAGATGAGAAGAAATGTTAGCGAGTGGATAAGGGACAGTATCATCATCATTAAACAAGTTAGCTGCAAGTGGAAAACACCTCATCTATTGATAATGAACAGAATGATGACAAATCTCGGCTCGATTCGTGATAAGCGATACTATGGAGCTATACCACGTAGAAGTTGGTTTCAAGAGAAAGAAGCCTCGTGAGGATTCACCACGTGTTAACAATATTAGTAACCTGACTAACTTACGCTGTACATTTGAGCAAAGTGTTTGGCTTGTTCTTCAATTCTACTCAATCGTTCCAACTCTTTGTTTAACGCGTCAACTAGGTCACACAACTACAGAGAATGAAGAAGTAGTAACTGGGTTTACCTCGCGATTTTCATCTAGCGTCTCCTTGAGAGCCACGCGGCGCCTCTCAGCCAATTCTTCCCAATAGTTTTCTGGTGGATTGGCTGGAAGAAGTTGACATACATAATGCAATGACTCACCACCACAGAGCCATTCTTTGATATCGGCGTCCGAAGTTTGCACTTCTGTTGAGACGACCTCAGGTGATTTCCGAGTCAAAGATTTATCGGTGTCGAGTACAACAGAACCACAGAAACGACAGGGGGATTCTACTGTGTCTCGATAAATACTGAATGGCATTTTGCACTCCGGTTTCTTGAGTGTGGCGGGCTTGGACAGTGACGAAAGCTTTTTTGAGGGGAATTTAGAACCCTGAAAAGAGAGCTTGAATAAGAGGAAGCTTACTTCTTGCGGAAAGTGCTCCACTACATTGTTATGCAGTGACAGTCCTTTGCGTACTGTCGCCATTGAGGGGCCAACTGAAATGAGAAATATCGTAGCTCAGGTATCAGTTAAAAAATAAAATGGAAAAAGTCCGTAAAACGAAAAACGCGAAGGATATCAGTTCGTTCAATTTTGGCAATTAAGATTAGGCAGGTGAAGTTGTCAGATGAAATGCTGCTATGAGGAGAAAAGGTAGCAAGTACCAAGAATAGAATAACGAAATACCATATGTGTCGGATAGAATGACTAACGGTCGCAAACAACAGGTTGAATGCAAGTGAGCATATATTATGAAGCCTAAGCAATAGAGGTGCAGGTATCGAAAAAATTAAATCAACTGGAGGTAAAATGTGAGCAAAAAGAAAGACACTTTTTCGCTTTTTACCCGCCATTTCTTATCTTTTTCCCATTTCCAATAACTGTAGCATTAGACAAGTAAAACACGACCAATGTGCCCACAGTTCTATCGATTACGGCCGCGAGCTATATTCACAAACGTGTTAAGCTGTAATGCGTAATGGTTCAGAAGCAAGGACTACGATCGAGAAAGTAAAGAATGACATATAAATTGGTTCCGGCGACTCAGGAGGGCAATGCGGTCTTCTACCATACCAACAGAAGCGCAGAGAGAACCAAACCGAGGCCGCCAACGTGTATTACAGAGAATATCGATCGCAGTGGTTTAAAACAAACGGGGCATCAGTATATCAGAGAGCGGAACAGTACATGGTTTTTGGGATAACAGTGAGAAGCAAAACTGGACTACAAAAGTAATAATAAGAACTCGCCCACCTAAACAGTAGGCACGGGCGAAAAATATCCAGGAGGAATGCACTACACTATCCCCTGTCAAATAGGCGTAGTCCGCGACGCACCAGGCGGGCCAGGACCATGAAGAACAGACAGATCAGCCTGACTGCTCAACTGCTGCTTCGGTGAGGCATAAACAGAATCCGTCACATGATGGCAAGCGAATAGTGTCAAGGAAGATAAATGTGGCAGATTTCGTCAACCTACCGTTGTGAGATCTACTGAAACCGGAAATACTGGCTTACGCATAATGTTGCATGGGGCAAGGATGGTTATCAGAACACAGTGAAGCACGATGCACCTGCTTGTACGCAGAGTTCAAAAGACTGAAGCGGCAAGCCCGGCCAACAGCTACACTCGGGGAATCTCCAGTAGTCATGTCATCGAGTAAGCGATGGAAGGTAGGTTCATAGCACACTTGGAATTATGACATTTATCACACTCACTTATTCGGAGTGTAATTTCGAGAGAGCTTCAGGAGTCAGACTGTCGGTCCAAAAGGCGTAGGACAAAACAGTGCACAAGGCGCTATGAGGCCGTTGGTTTAGTGGAACGTTTTCTCCAAAATCACCGGCGGACGCCTCACACTCACAAATGACAATGTCGAACGTGCTGGCTGTAATTTCTGGAACAGGACGATCGACCAAAGCGTTGATAGTATGCGATCTAGGCCACGACGTCTTGGTAAGTAGTGCATCAAGTCGTAAACTCTGAGATTGTGGATGCAGATGCTGCCACTGTTGCAGTTTATTAGGGATCAGGGTGACAGGTGAATGGATCGTTATCTTTCACGTCATAGAAAGTTAAGGATGTGACATATCTGCATCAAGAGCCCAGGGTATGGTCGCGCTAAATCCACCATCAGTATCGACTGCTGGTGGAAAGAAAACAACCTGACAAATTGGACCGCAGAAGTAATGGTCTCTTGAGTAGCGGAAATCGGTTAAGTTTCGTAGACATTAGTAGTGGTTACCCTATCTGGCTGCATGCTACGAGGGAACAGTGAGGAAAGTTGATCCCAGTTGACTTCCATCGAACGGTGTGACAAGAGATCAACAATAAATAAAACCTCCAAAATGTAATCGTCCAAATGAGACATGAGGTATGTGCCCTTATGTGCCTGAACTGCGGAGAGACAAGCTTACATCGTCCGCCTCCAAGCAATCAGGTCCATATGCCTTGAAAATACAGGGGGACAAGTAAACAGGAATGCCATCTGGAAATCCCAGCTCTATCACCAAAGCTGTAACGCGCAATGGTCCAGAAGTGAGGAGATCGATCGAGAGACTACAGAATTACGAGAATTGCGTGCTTAACGTTTGCGTGGGCGAGTTTCCATTATTACGTCTTTTGATCCAGTTTTCCTTCTCGCTGGTATCCCACAAACACGCATTTTGTACTTTGCCAAGTGTTTGCCAGGGAGAGTAAAATTTCCCAGGAAAACTTATTAATCCAAATGGAAAACGATTCGAATCAGTGATGCACAAAAGAAACATTAATACGTTTCAGGCATGTTCGAAGTAGGAACATTCAAGGTCTACAGGACGAACGTAAAAACCCATTGGCTAGCGAAACTGATCTGCCAATCAGGGCAGCTGACCTCGCTGTTCTGGTATGTGAATCTTCCTTCGTTGACTTATAAAAATGTCCGTTGACTTCACCCTACTGGTACCAGTGTTGGTAGCTGGTTCCGCAACACGCTTTTGCTTTCAAGCGTTGCCTTCTGACTCTCGACTGGGGTTCAAAGTAGACAGAGAACGAATTCAGTTCAAATGGAATCGCGCAGACAGAGGTAGATCATAACAGTACTGCTCAGCCCTCTGATATATTGATGCCCGGTTTGGTTTGAACCGCTGCGATCGATATGCTCTGTAATACACGTTGGCTGCCTCGGTTTGGTTCTCTCTGCGCTTCTGTTGGTATGGTAGAAGGCCGCATCGCCCTTCTGAGTCGCCGGAACCAATTTGCACGTAATTCTTTAGCTGCTCGATCAAAGTCCTTGTTTATGAATCATTGCGCATTACAAAGCCAATAGCAATCCTCATCCTTGAGTCCCTAGCCAGGAAGATGTAAGGGTGCAAAGGCCGCTAGACGTTACGACCGCGAATGCACGTGTCGTCACCAAGTGGAAAGTCAATCGCAATAAAGTTGCCTTCAGCCTAATGCTTTACGTGTGTGTGGGACAAAGCGAGGTAAATGCTAGCGTAACACCCGTGGGATGGGACCGAGCGGTCTCAATTGCTGAAGCATGTTAAAAAGGAAAGTCGCATTCTACAGGTGTCGTCTAGGTTCGTTGTTGTAAAGTTCGTGCCACCACCAGATACAAGCAATCCTTTTCAAACAACCATTCTCGAAGGCAGAAATCCTACGCATGCCATCCACCCTAATCGTCCGAGACTTGCTTTAATACAACAGTAATCGAATAGAAATTTTATGAACGCAGATCTTTACCATGATGGAGATATCTATAAGACACTAAAACGGTCTCAGAGTGACAAATGTCGACCGGGCTTTAGCAATGCGGAAACATCCGTTATAATAGCGCCGCCAACAGGAATACATCTCCCAAGGTGGACGAAACCATCTAACGGTTTGAGCTGCGCAACTTCAAAGGTGAGCACGGGAGAATGTGGCGCAATCCTGAAGCAACGCCTTAAACATCGAGACAGCGAAGCACGTCATACGAAGATTCTTCAGTCATCAAACGGTTCAAAATGTATTGCATACTCTGAGGATTGTCGGCAAATAAGGTGATATCGTCAGCATAAGCTAAGTTGCTCTTATCCTCACTCTGCAGAAGTTATAAGCCGAAATTTCGGGAGCGTAAAGACTGTTCGACATGATGTCTCCGATTGTAAAATGCATGATGAATGGCAGCCCAGTCGCACACTGCTTTTTACCGCGAAGGACGAAGAAAGTTTGTTGTAGACCCCCACCTTGCCTGAACCATGTAAGTGAAGTGCAAGTACGATGTCGGTATACTGACATGGGACCGAGTTGAATGCATCTCATATATTTAGGAATGCAACAATGGGGGTGTTTGAGTAGCTAGTGTGGCGCGAAGATTTGATCCATGCACACACTTCGGCTGGTGACCACCTGCTTGCCTTGCAATCCAGAGGTTGCCGATTAGAATCCGCGTTGGTGCCGGTGACCTTACGTTATACCTAGCGCATGAGCGACTGGTGGTGACTGTTAGGCAGCGAATGGTCGGTACAGTGTGCCGGCATATTGCTGATGCATGCACTCATGGTCCCTAGCCATTGGGTCACAGAGATACAAAAATCATGGCAATACTTTGAGGTCTAGTCCCGTCGTTGCAAACACAGTTTCCTGTCAACCTAACCTTAAAGTAACGTCCCGTCAAAAATGTAAGTTGCAGCGCGAGAAATAAAGAGAGGACAAAAACCAGGGATGAAAGTACGTTTCGCCTAGTGAGCGTGTTCCAAGAAAGGAAATAGAGCCCTCCCCCAGAACAGGGAGTTGATCGAACGTCCCTGCGTGTATAAAGGAGAAAGACGGGAGCAAGTGCAAGACAACCACAAGATTTTCATGAAGTTGCGTAAGTTACTAAGATGCGGTCAAAAAAACTACCGTGAACTCTCGCGGAAAACCGGGAACAGGACCAACCAATTGCTGTATAAGTACTGTTTAAAGTTCACCATTCTTGCACACTCCAATAAGGCAGCCAAGCAAAACCCGAATTGCTAAGAATATCGCTCTAATATCTAGTTTAAATCTTTTCTATTTCCTTTATAAACAACGGGTCCGCAAGCAGTCCCATGTAGATGGTTCAAAGAGTCCGTCGTTAGGAGACTGCAGCTTACCGTGGTGCGACGGTTTGCGTATCTCCTTGACCCAGTGAGCTATACTGGGCGGTGCTTCCGGGCCCCTTGAGAGCTACTAATACCAGGTTGGTCAATCATGATATGCCAGACAAACTCAGTCTCTTGGTCCCCCATATTAGGATGGCGCCCACTTCTGTAAAACTGAATCAATGCCACCTCACCGCTGCCTTGCGGACAGGCTTTTGAGCCAAAGACTTTGGCAGTTTCTCAACCCACACACAACTGTGACTTTTCTTCAAACATAAACTTCATCCTACATCGGCCGTCGCGCAGATAAGCAAGGGTCACCTTGTCTGTTGCATACAGCAGGGCGAATAAGCGAAAACAGGATACTGCTGGCGCCTCTCTTCTTTCTTTTCCACCTTTTTCTCTTACTCT